ACACACACACACACGCACACACACACACACACACAAAGAATTATACAACCATGACTTCTGAAAACACCACCTGTCCGAGATAACACTATCATACCATCCACCACACCATACATTTTCTTGTCTTTTCTGGTCTTTTCTTTTCTTTTCTTTTCTTTTCTTTTCTTTTTCTTTCTATTCTATTCTATTCTTTCCTCTTCTCTGTTTTATTCTTGTTCTTTCTTTTCTATTCTATTTTATCCTCTTTTTTTCTTTTTGTATCTATTCTATTCTTTTTTCTTTCTTTTCAATTTTTTCTTATCTTTTCTTTTACTTTTACATTCATTTCTTTTTTTTTTTTGTTTCTCTATCCTTTTCTTTTCTGTTCTTTTCTATTTCATTCTATTCTTTTCTTTTCTTCCCTTGTCTCTTCTTTCCTGTTCTATTCTATTTTCTCCTTGTCTTTTCTTTCCTGTTCTATTCTATTTTCTCCTTGTCTTTTCTTTTCTCCTCTTTACTTTTTTCCCCCTAATTTAGATGACCGTATTACGAAACTGGTGGTTCTAAAATGTGGTATACCGTATCTCGCTAAGGCGGTGAAACAAAACTGATTCAGTCCTGGGTTGTCCCTGAAACACTGAGGATGTTTGCCGTACCAGATACATGTATAACTCAACTCACAAGTCTGTCAGGGATCTAAACTGGGGAACGCACCCGGCAAAAGACTAGTGGGGGTCTACCCATCTCAAAATAAAGTCTCAATAAATAAATCTTTTTTTTTTTTGCACTCGTTGCCATGGCTACCCAGATATTGGCCCCCGCAGAGAGCAATAAGTGACCCAAGTAGATCATATTAGATTACATACGACGTGAATAGAGCTCGCTGGTGACGGGGGCATGGCGCAAGCAGACAGGTGCTAGATCTATCTATCTATCTATCCATCTATCTATCTATCTATCTATCTGTCTGTCTGTCTGTCTGTCTGTCAGTCAGTCTGTCTGTCTGTCTGTCTGTCTGTCTATCTATCTATTTATCTATCTATCTATCTATCTATCTATCTATCTATCTATCTATCTATTTATCTACATATCTATCTGTCTGTCTATCTATCTATCTATCTATCTATCATTCTATCTATCTATCTATCTATCTATCATTCTATCTATCTGTCTATCTATCTATCATTCTATCTATCTATCTATCTGTCACACAATACCATGTGGAGTAACTTAGAGCCTCACAGTAAATAATGCATTAAATAGCTGTGCACGCAAGGTTAAAGATTTGAACATGGAAAGAGAACTGTGTCCAGAGGCTGAACCATCATGGACCTCTAATAATAGGTCTATGGGCTGAACCAATCAAGGATGGAGTCAGTGAAGCCAGCGACTCACCCTCAGGTTTGTGACAAGCATGGCGTCCATTATCTTGAGCAGGGTGTCCCTGGAGCTCACCAGAGCTTTGTTCCGGGCTTTGATCTTGGTTTCTGTGATGTCTGTTTGGGGAGGGG